ATTGGAAGCAACCTAAATGTCCATCTGTAGATGAATGGATAAAGAAGATGTGGTACATATACACAATGGAATACTACTCAGCCATAAGAAGTGGAAAAATCCAACCATTTGCAGCAACATGGATGGAGCTGGAGAGTATTATGCTCAGTGAAATAAGCCAAGCGGAGAAAGAGAAATACCAAATGATTTCACTCATCTGAGGAGTATAGGAACAAAGGAAAAACTGAAGGAACAAAACAGCAGCAGAATTACAGAACCCAAAAATGGACTAACAGGTACCAAAGGGAAAGGAACTGGGGAGGATGGGTGGGCAGGGAGGGATAAGGGGGGGGAAGAAGAAGGGGGGTATTAAGATTAGCATGCATGGGGGGGAGGGAGAAAGGGGAGGGTGGGCTGCACAACACAGAGAGGACAAGTAGTGACTCTACCACATTTTGCTAAGCTGATGGACAGTAACCGTAATGTGGTTGTTAGGGGGGACCTGATATAGGGGAGAGCATAGTAAACATAGTATTCTTCAGGTAAGTGTAGATTAAAAATTTAAAAAAAAAAAAGAAAGAAAGAAAGAAAAGGGGGATTACTCCTTAACAGGATAAAACTATTGGTAAATCAAAGATCAACGCATGCTTTAAATATCCTTAATGTTGATCACTTAAAGGGTGTCAGATGATCAGCTATGGAGGTACTCTTTTCTGATAATATTCCTTTCTCTTAATTAAAAAAAAAAAAAAAAGCAGTTACTGTGTGCTGACCTCCAATGAGTTCTGCACAGTGGTATAGAGGGCATGTCAAAGTGTGGGCAAAGGGTCTGTTTGTTTCTACGCAGAAGATCAAGGCCTAGCTTGGATACCCAGAAAATGAACTAAGATACGATATGAGGAGGAGCTTCCGGCATCAGCACTCTCTGGAGGACTCGTGCCGGGGGATGATCATCAAAAAGCCTCCACAGGGATCCGGACGATGCTGCGGTTGTGGCTGCATCCAGCCCACCGTCTCCTGGACTTGCCATAAGAAGGAGGAGGGAGATGTCTAGGCTGGCATGTGCATACAGTGAGACAACGAATTTGACTGGATCTGTACTGTTGGAACTCAACCAGGAGTTGGGAGGGGTGCAAGTTGTAGCACCCCAAAATCTCATGACTATAGACTATCTATGGTTAAAAGAACATATGGGATGTGAACAGATCCCAGAAATGGGCTGCTTTAATTTGTCTGATGGTTCAAGTACAGTTGGAAAATATCCATCATATCATAGATAAATTTTCACAAATGCCTAGGGTGCCTAAATGGTTTTCTTGGCTTCACTGGAGATGGCTGGTAATTATAGATTTGCTTTGTTTATGTCACCGTATTCCTATTATGTTAATATGTGTGTGCAAATTAGTTAGTAGTTTAAAACCTATACATACTTAAGGTACTATACAAGAAGATATGTCAAAGAAATAATCAATCCTCCCAAGTTTCCTTCATATGCTACATCTATAGCTTTTCTTCTTCCTTCCTAATTACAAACCTTAAATAGAATTCGTGCCTCATATCGAATTTACCGAGTATCATAATTCCTCCAGGTGGTAAAGATACCTCGAGACAAGTGCTGGGCATAGAAGCCACAGGGCATAAATCTGCAAAGAAGTAAAAAGCTAACCTTTGCAAACAATATGGCTTCTCTCTCACTTACCAACTTTACATTTCCCTGTATGGCCCCGGAAGATGACTGGTTAGCCAGAGACGGGTAAGATTCCTCAAGGGAGGAACAACCTAAGACAGGCACAGTCGCAGGGGGGCCATCAGGTGAGAATTTGGGGATCAACAGAGGTGAGGCTCAGAACCTCACCCCCCCTGCTTTGAGAGAAATCTTCTGCATCCGTGGATGTCTTGCTGCCCTTGTCTAGCCTGGATTAATACTTAGTCCATAGGCACACACCTGATCATCTGATCATCTACATTTGCCTTCTTACAGCACTAAACTATGTTTTCTACCTTTATCTTGCATCTACCTACCACTTCAGCATTTTATTAAAAATAAAAATAATAATAATAATAGGAGAAATGTGGGATCAACATATAAATCAAGTACAAAAATCAAATGAATATTCATATTTGACCTGATGGTTTATAGGTCATATTGCATGATCAAAACCGAAAGTTTCTGTGATGAATGCCCTTGTACTGTTCACCATGTAAGAATTTATTCACTATGTAAGAATTCGTTCACCATGTAAGAACTTGTTCGTTATGCTTCAGAAGATTGGAGACTGACGAGAATTAGGCTTGAGATGGATTAATGATTGTACATTGAGCATTGACCCCCCTATACTGAATTTTATTGTTGTTAACAACCATTTGATCAATAAATATGAGAGATGCCCTCTCAAAAAAAAAAAAAAAAAAAATCTGTTCTAATCATTCTAAGTGCGAATAATTCCATGTTGTTGTGAGTTTTTAACAGTTTATTATTTAAGCTTATTTTATAATACAGTGGAAATCAGTATGTCTATAATATAGTTAATAGTAAACACACAAAAGAGTAAAGTCAAATAACAAACACCACAAAGCAGGATTATTTACTTAAAAGACAACAGAAAGTTTAACTCTCTCTAAATTAGAGATTAGTATAATTCAGATTAATCTTCTGAGAAATGTGATCAGAGACCATTATGAGGCACAGTATCAGGGAAGCCTTAATAAGGGGAGCAGGTAGTGAGGAAAGAACACAGAACCAAGTGTGATTTGAAGAATTATGAGGACAATCTGGATACAGAATAGTCTAATTTAGAGAGTTTATATGAGACAAAGCAGAAGGAAATCTAAATTGCATTGAAGCAGTCTGACAGAAAGGTCCTGAATATCAGAGTAGTGAGAAGGTACTAGAATTTGAGGAAGGCATGAAAAATAGGTTTTAGGAAGATTAACTTTGAGCTCTTCAGTAACAAAGGAAGAGGCAAACTAGGAATCTTTTGCAATAACTTTTAAGTGGGAAATGATGGTGGTGTGAGCTATGATGAGGTTACATGGAATAGAAATGTAAAAGGTAGATTCAGTAACTAACCAGGGAATGAGCAGGAGACAAAGACGTGTGTACACTTCCTAGCTCTACCCACTCAAAAAGTCTAGAAGCAATAGTATGCTAGGAGCAATAAGCACACATAACCCCCTGATCTTCATTTCTAAACACTATCTCCTACTAAAAGGAACCAGGGTTTCTTGGAGAAATGGCCAATTCTAAAACTGGAGCAGGGGAGGTACAACATACGCCTGGAACATCTTGTGCCAGAAAGTAAGGAACAACTGGGACATGTCAAAAGGACACAGGAGCCAACTTGAAGGGTCTCTACTGGATGAATCCTGAACGATTTGGACATCAAAATAAGGACAGTAATGAACCATAACATACTGAGTAAAATAGGACTCCATGAGGCCATATTATACTAGATAAGTAAACAATGGGGAAGAAAGAATGTCAAATGATAAATGAGGAGTAGTGGAGTTGGGGTGGGGGGGCATTCTGCAATCACTATAGTTAAGTTCACTTCAGACAAGACCAATCAGCAGATGCCAAATTGATGAGGGGGGGAAGTGGGGACGGAGTGTGGGGATTTGATGAGCAGAAAGCTACCTGCATAGTCTCAAAGAGTCTCCCCAACAGACTGCTTACTAGTTACGAGGATAAAAAAAGTAACTATATAGTAGAGAGACTGGACAACACCTAAAGTGCATAATTAAAATTAACCTCAACAAGGAAGAGCAGTCAGATATCATGTGCCTCTGACTGATTTCCTAAGGAGACATTACCACCTATAAAAGTATTCTAGCCATAAATACACAACCTGAATCTAATCTTAGGAACCATCAGATAAACTCAAACTGAGGAACCATCTATAAAGTAACTAGCTTGTATTCTTCAAAACTGTCAATGTCAATAAGAAAAAGAAAGGCTAAGGAAGTTCTAGATTAGCGATCAAAGAGACATGAAAACTAAATGCAACACATGATCCTAGACTGAGGGATGTAGAGGACATGATTGGGACAAGCTATAAGACTGGAATATGGACTGTAGATTTCAATATTTTACCAATGTTAAACTTCATGAAGTGGCTATATAAGAGAATATCCTTGTTTTTAGGAAATATACACCGAAGTATTAAGAAATAAGGAGCACAGGCAGAGAAAGACAAGTACCAAATGATTTCACTCATTTGTAGAGCATAACAACAAAGCAAAACTGAAGGAACAAAACAGGAGCACACAAAACCTGGATAGAAAAAAAACAAACAAACAGGAGCAGACTCACAGATGACAAGAAGGGACTAGCAGTTACCAAAGGGAAGGGAGGATAGGTGGGGAGAGAGGGAAAAGGGGATTATGGGGCATTATGATTAGCATACATAATGTAGGTGGGTCATGGGGAAGGCAATACAGCACAGAGAAGTAGTGACTCTATAGCACTTTACTACGTTGATGGACAGTGACTGCAATGGGGTGAGTGGGGGGAACTTGATAATATGGGTGAATATAGTAACCATGATGTTGCTCATGTGAAACCTTTAAAAGATTGTATATCAATGATACCTTAATAAAAAGAAAAAAGAATCAAGGGGCATGATATATACAACCTATTCCTCAAATAGTTCAGAAAAAAGTTTGTGTATATATATATGTACACACACACACATAAAAATGAACTGTGTATTTGGGAAAAGGGAAAACAGGAGTTTTGTGTGCAATTCTTGTAATTTTCCTGTTAAGTTTAAAATTATTTCCAAATAAAGCTTTAAAAAGCCAGAACAAGGAAAATACTAACTTAAATTCATTAGTTTTTACACAGGCTGTCTCTCTCACAAATCAGGGCTAGAAATACACATTTCAAAGTCATCCAAATAAATACTTGAGATTTAAAGTCTCAATAAGTACTGAATTTAAGGAAAAAAGTGTGTGCGCATGTACACTAAGAACTTAATGAAACTGTGTCTTTTTTTAGTGACAAGGGCTAATAAACTTACCGCCAGTGTTTTTCAACTCTTCGGCTAAGGGCAATTTTTTCTCCCACTTCGGTGCACACAGGATTAGTCAATACGATTTTGCCCAAATCAGCCTTGACTGCACTAACTCTTCCTCCTGTCGACAGGGATCCTATGTTCACCATGAGCACTTCGTTCTTAGACAGCTTTTGCACCTAAGGAAATAAATTGGGGAAAAATAAACTCCAAAATCTAGAAAAGGCTTTCCAAAAATGACTGCTTATTTTTCTGCATCCTTGCCAACAACAGATAGCAGCAATTTTCCATCTCTGCCAACCTAATCTCACTGACACTTTCTAAAAAATCATATGGATTACAGGAATATCATGTCATTGCCCTATGTGACATACTTTTTCCCATTTTGTTTAATACTTTAAACTGATTACACATAGAAGTTCTCAACTTTCAAGAAGCCAAACTTATCCACCTTTTCTTTTTTCTTAATCCCATGTTAGCTATAAAAGAACAAACCTCAAAACTGGTCTTAGTATCACTATCATTTTCTGGAAACAGGAATTATAGAAAGCACTTACCTTTGCTGCTTTCTTATCTCCTTCAGTGCGTACACCTAGAAGGCGTCTAAGTAGGAAATAGGAGATTTCCAACTCGGTGAAGATCTCAGGTAAAGCTCCAACTGCACCAAGTACCTGCCCTACCATTCTGTCAGCCCGGCACAAAGTGGGGTCAATTTTTGTTCCAACTCCTGATATGAAATAAAGATATACAAAATCCAGCTTTTTATTGCCTATAAGGCTATTTACCAAAAAACTTAAACAATTACAGCATACACTTATACATTTTATTACACATTTATATTCTCATACTTATGTAATAGCTACAAAGGCATGAAAAATACCTGTTTTAATCGAAGAAACAGAATTGTAAATTCATGGGTTAGTTGTGCATTTGAGAACAGAAGATTCTCTTGATTTAAATTCTAAGCAAAGGGCAAAATGAGATAACAGCCTAACTCAAAAATGAGTGTGAATATGCTTAATGAAGGTTGAAAAGATACAAAATTCATAATAAGCAGTTTATAGACTATTTGTCTGCCATTTCTCCCCTGAAAAGCTGACCAAAAAGACAACTTAAAGGCTTTTTATATAATTCCTGGGATCTACTTAAAAACATTTTACCTGTGTGACTTTTGGGGAGAGGGAAGAAGATATAAAAATGAAACAAGATTGGTAAAGTACTGCCAGTTGCTGCTGGGTGGTGGCTACATGAGGATTATCATTACACTATTCTTCTATCTTGAAAATTCCAGAAGGTAAATTTTACCAATTTTTCTGGAATTTCCTTGTTTATAAAGAACAAACAACAAAAACAGATAAAATCATACATAGTAAACTCTTAATTACAGGCTAGAACAGAAAAATATGTTATATAGCCTAAAACCAGAGAACCAAGAGATAAAACTCCTTCTTTACCAAATATTCTCTTCTTTAATCCAAAGGTACAGCACCTCTAATTTTCAACAAATCCTGCCTTTCTCTGGGTATCTGGTAGACAGTAAAGTGTAAGTGACCAGAAAATCCATAAATTAACTCAGTAATTCCTACAAAACGGAAGTTATCCTTTTATTCTCACCTCAGTGTAAATATGATATGATGTGATTCAACTGACATTTATGAGTAACTTTCCATTTGCAAAACACACATAAAAAACAAACACTCTCTACCCCAAAAACTTGTGGACTTCAAAATAAAAGCATACTTAGGTATTTTAAATGTTAGGTCACAAAACTTATTTTATTATTGCTAAAAAGGAGTTACTTTATATACTCAACCAAAATGTATTCTTTAAAAGTAATTTTTACAAACACATGAAACCATCTTATGACCTAAAATCAACAGCTTAACCACATAAATGTCCCCAGCCCCATTCAATTATTAAAATATCCAATTAAAAATCTACAATATATCTTTTTGAGTAATCAATTTCCCATGAAAAATACCACAAATTAGAAGCATAGTGATGAGAAGAAAATCTTTACCAATAAGACCTCCTGGAGCAGCATACTGGAGATCATTATGCTCAGCGAAAAGGGACACAATTTTGGAAAAGATTGGTTTACACATGAGTTTTCCTTCACTGTCTTTGGAAACAATGCCAGGTCTGACTTCAATCTCCTGGCCCACCTGTAAATATAAACATTATTAATTACTGCAGGACAACATGATTAGCATTTTACACATCAAAAGTCCTAACAAGAAGACCACAAAACTGAAAAGACAACCCTTTCTCTATTTCAACGATCACTATTAAAAAACGAAAAAAAGATGTCGAAGAGAACTTTAAAACCAGAACCATCCAACCATAGCTAACTACCTACCACACAATCCATCACCATAAAAAATGTACTCCATACTCAAAACAAGCCTATAAAGTTAGAGGTCAGACACACTCAAGAAGTCTCTATCAAGTACTAGACACCACGAAAAAAATTTTATTTTTCAATTTGGAGTGTCCATACTATTCTCCTTATGATTGAGACAAGGAAAAAACAAACAAAACAAACACACAATAACCAAAACCAGCTTACCTTTAAAACTCCTTTTAGAATACTACCACCAGCCACACCACCCTTAAGGTCATCAACTTCACAGCCAGGTTTATTGACATCAAAGGACCGGATAACTAAAAGCAAACAAATTAAAACCAGTTCTGTTTATTTTAACTTGAGAAGACATATTCTTTTCTAAGTTAACTTTTCTAAAATAGTTACCCCAGAAGATTTATACCATGGGGTGCTGTGCTACCTAATATTACCTAAAATCTGTAACATAGGGGTGTTATATTACCTACTCTATTATTATTACTCTATTATAATAATAATATTATTATTATATAACATTTACTGCAGCCTTGCTTTATAATGGAAAAAGTGGAAATAACTTGAAAGTTCATTGATAGGTTTAGTATGATACATCCATACTGTGGAATTTCATGCAGCTAACAAAAAAGAATGTTAGATCTGTATGTAATGATACATCCATACTATGGAATATCATGCAGCTAACAAAAAAGAACGTTAGATCTATACATAATGATCTGGAAGGATAACCCTCATATACTGTTAAGGAGAAAATTAGTTATGAAAATAACACATATAGTATGATCCCTCTTCCACAAAGAAAAATGAGAACAGGAAACATTATATACGACCATATGAACAAAGAGAAAGGTGTGGGAATAATACACACCAACTATTACGTCTGGATACTTCAGGGCTAAGAGGCTGGAAGTGGGAGGCAGGGAGTGGACTTTTTCTTTATAAACTCCTATATTATGTGACTTTGGAAATAAAAATTTAGTTTTAAAACTACAAAACAACTCTAGGACTATGTGAGCTACACTTACGTCCTAAGAGCTGTGACCCTTAACAAGGAGTATGCATCATAATCACACAAGAGAACACTTCCCACAACACACAGGAAGGTCTCAGGTGGAGGCCCAGAGGGACTCAAATGTCTGTTTTGAAAAGGCACCTACATCTTTGTGCTGAACTACAGGCTTGGAGATTTTACTAATATTGATACTATGAATTTAAATAAAAATAAAGGAACATGACAATCCTCATTAATGGTACAATCAAGTCATTTGCACAGAAGTTTTAATATTCTGTTCCTGACTAAACCTTTAAAATTCCATAGAGAATACTGTATGACTCCATCCTGATTACATAACATACTGTATACAGAGTACAAGAAGGTTAAAACTTCCTTCTGTATTCAGAAATTTGTCCCTCATCCAGCAGTGTGATCTAGCACTGCCAATACAAACTCAGAATTTTTAAAAAAGTTTATGGAGACTGTAATTTATTACCACCTCTGCAGAAAAGGAAGTATTAGTAACGCCCTTAAAGGGGAATCACCAATGTGAAAAAACATCAATTAAGGGTTAAAGACAAATCCTATCACTTACCAATAAGTCGGGGCTCTGAAGTAAAGTCCCTTGGGGGTACTGGAATTTTCTTTACTATGTACTCACAGACAACTTCAATGTTGTATTTCAGCTGAGCAGAAATTGGAATGATAGGAGCCCCTTCTGCTACTGTACCTACATGACAATACCAGGAAGATCAAAATTCCTGTTTTATAGAATTTGTTCTATACATGTTACATGAAACAGTTAAGATTACTAAAATATATGCCTAAACATCCCCACACAAATGCCAGCAACAGGTAAAAAGTGACGATTCTATTTAGAAAGGTAGCAGTATTCTATGTTTATTTTTACTTCTGAAAATGAGTACTACTCCCTTTAAGAAAAAATTTGTTAAACTATATCACCAGATATCTTTGATATATTAAACTGATAAAACTGTTCAAACAAACAACATGCTAACACTCCTGGGACTTTTACTAGTTCAAAGATTTCTATTAACATGTAATTAACCTCCCAATAAACGTCAAGGTAAAATTACAGGTTCTCTGCTACTCAAACACTGCTGACACATACAATATCTGTTCCTTATTAATTATATGTTAAACAGGTTGGTCAAAGAAATGAACCAAACATAATTAGGTTTTAATCAAAATGACTTATTCTTTTTCATTATAGTAGAACTGGGTTCACAGGAGGAAGTCAACTTTTCTAACAAGAAAAACAAGGCTAAGAAAGAATCAAATGTCAACAATGAGACACATCATGTCTTCCCTGAAATGAGAAACATTATACTCTTAGAGAGAGCAACACTATAAAGATTAAATAAATCACTGTCAGTTCTAATTCACAAAGTAACTACTCAGTAAGAATAGTGTAAGACTTAAGTTAAAAAAAAATGCTTTTGTTCACTTTACTATCACTGAGGATTTTTAAAAAATCGAATTTAGTTTTCAAATATAACTTCAAGTCTAACTTCAGCTTTCAAAAATATACTTTAGTTGATCAAATTCAGAAACAGATTTTACTAGTTTTATCAGTAGGCTAACAAGTAGTAGGTGTAGAGAAATAAGGTTTAAGACCCACAAATTTACCGTTTTAGATAATCTATTAGAAATTAACATCTGGTATCTGGATTAAATGCCTCTCAAAATTATTCAAAGGCTTATTAGATATTATGGCTTCTTACCTTGTACAAACGCAAGAATCTGTTCATACTGTTCTTTAGCCTGACTTTCTTTTACCAAATCTATTTTATTTTGTAGAATCAAAATATGCTTCAGTTTCATGATTTCTATAGCAGCCAGGTGTTCAGAAGTCTGAGGTTGAGGACAAGACTCATTACCAGCTAGAAGAGAGAAAAATAAAAAGTGTGTGACAATTAGCTGGAAATGTCCAGAATAGGTAAATCCAGAGACAGAAAGCAGATTAAGGTTGCTAGAGGCTGGAGGAAAGCGGGGATAGAGTGACTGCTTAATGGGCATGGGGTTTCCTTTTGTGGCAATAAAAATGGTAATGCTAATACAACACTGTGAATGTACTCAAAGCTACACTTTAAATGGCTAAGATGGTATTTTCTATATTATGTGTATTTTACTACAAAAAAAAAAATTAGCTGGCATCTAATAAAGGAAACTTTTGAATATCCTAGCCTTATTCAAGGCAAAAGTCCCGAATATCATTGACAAGTATCTGCTTTTTGTCTCTGCCTCACCCTCTGTGCCTGCGTTCACTGGAGCTTCCCAATCTTTTGGCTACCATTCCTGGTCCTAAGCAAGAAGCCTGGTATCAATAAATCTGGCATCTCAGGGTTTTCCCTCAGCTTTTCCTCAGGCACAAGGTATAGTCCTCAGGCTCTATCCAGTTTTAGAGATGTTCCGGGCTAGTCAAGCTCCTGAGAGGCAGACAGTAATTAAGAGGGGAAGATACTTAATACAGTCCATGTATTTCAACTACTATCAGAAGCTACTCCCTAACAAAGGGGAGGCCACTTAATGTGAAAATAACCAACAGAGCATTATAAAGAAAGAGCCATGTTTTGTTGGGCAGTCCAATGATCATCCTCCCCAAATGGTGATATTCAGGTGTCCTGTACTATTATCTTCTTGGCATGCTTTTAAAAATCATATCCCATAGCAACGGAGTCTCTTAACAGCTCACACAAGGAAGACTATAGCCTTGAAAACCCCAATTCCAGTCTACATTTCAACACTTATTATGAATGAGACTTGCATTTAAATAAAACCATTATATGTCAGTGTTGCAGTGGATAGCTCAGAGACAAAAAATACATGTATGTTTACATATAGATTTAAAATTTAACAAATCATTTTGTATGCTCTAAGTGGAAAAGTGCACTGATTTTTAAAAAATATATACTACCATGAGATTTCTCACATCATCAGCCCCAGGTCTATCTTGTTTAGAGTCTTGTGATAACTAGTAAGCAGGCATGACATTCTGGATGACATGTTAGGTTCCATTTGTGTCAACAAATTTGGCATATGACCCTCAAAGGCATTAGTTCCCCATTAAATATTTCATCCTGGATGTGTTTTACATTGGTTTGTCCAAACAAATTCTGATAAATTTACCTATCAACAGAAGAGCTGCGTCCATCACAGCTGCACCGTTCAGCATAGTAGCCATCAAAATATCATGGCCAGGACAGTCAACAAAGGAAACATGTCTAACAATTGAGAAATAACAATCAGTTCTAAGATCAAGCCATACCTCAACATGGAAGTTATAGTTTTCCTAAAATTAAATCACTTTAAATATGGAATATGAATATTACATATGAATGTAGAATAAAAATATGGAAATAATTCTCATTGCCTTAAAGTCAAGTGGTTATAGGACCTGGTGTTTCTGGACCTTGGAAATAAGATTACCTACTGGCTAAGAGTAGAATCACTGCAGATCATTACAAAGCATATGAAATTAGCTATGTGTAGAAATAACTGAAGAGACAGAAACTCACAAATGCAATCAAAGTGAATATGGTATAGAATATGTCATCGATTTGAAACCTAAGTAACATTGATAGCAGAATGGGCATTGTCATCTGAAAAATTAATCAGCCAAAAATTTCTCTAGACCTTGAAAGGCTGGAACCACCAATCTCAAGTGGAGATGGCAGCACTATCTTAACAAAACTATGCTACTCATTCAGAACCATTATTTTTAAAAAGTGTATGCTCTTACTGTCATGATAGAAAACAGGAGTTAGCAAACTCTCGCCCTTAGGCTAAATCTGGCCCTCTCCCATACCCACTCATGCACATATTGTTTATGTCTGCTTTCATATACAAGAGCAGAGATGAGCAGCTATAGAAGAGAACTTATGGCCTGCAAAGCCGAAAATACTTACTGTCTGGTCCTTAGTAGAAAAAGTTTGCTGATTTCTGATCAGGGCCAGAACTAGCATGTGGCAAGTGAGGCACTCACCTCAGATGCAAAACTGAAGGGGGTGCCAAAAAAACTCAGTAGTCAAGATAAATAATATTTCAATTTAATAGTTTAAAAAACCAAACTGCAAAAAAAAAAAAAAATCCATGATGAACAACTATCAAAATTTTAAAATAAAACAAGATTAGGAATAATGCTATGCTGAGCCAAAAAGCAAAACACCAGTGATACTAAAAAAAAAAAAAATCTGTAACTTTGATACTGTTTTTATTTTTAAAAGTTGTTTTATTTATCACAATTTCTTTGCATTAATTAAAAAAAAACATTGTCTAAAAATACTATTTATCTTAATTATTGAGTTTCTCTTTTAGCATCCCTCCACCCCTTAAATTTTTGGCCCAAGAGCCTCACTCACCTTTCCCAAGTCCCAGCCCTGCCCAGATCTAAAATTTCCTTGTGGGGTATTCCCAACTCCTATAAACATCATTAGGTAGATGTTGGTATCCTCTGATAAAGAACCAGACTATATAGTCATATTCAGGAAATAACTGGGTAACAAGTTCATGTATTTAAGAGGGGTAATTACAAATGGCTTTGTTCCTCCCCTAAAAGACAGAAACACTGTTTAAAATTAATTTGGGAAGCCTGGCAAAAAGAATTCCCCCAAAGCCAATGAACTGTGTTTCCCCCCATTCCATTCTGCTTACACGATACTTTTCCTATGGAGAAATTGCATGTAAGTATCTAACTTAGGCTTAAATAGTTGACTTTTCAAATTGCTGTCATCATAGACAAATAAATAAATAAATAATGGGAAAATAAAACCATTAATTCATTGTTTAATGTTTGTTAAATATTTCACAAAACATAAATCAGAAGACAATAGAATATGATGCATTAATTGTTTTTAGCGTGAATGAAGTCACCTGACTAATTTGAAGTTCCCTTTGGTCCCTGGAATGTCTGTAGGAAACTCATCAGGTGTACTACTTCCACAGGATCTGTAACATTCTGGCCGAGGACAGCTTGGGTCGTCAAGTTTATAAATCTACAAGTTCCAATGAAAAAAAGATTTGGATTTGTTATCTGCACATTCAACAATTAGTTTCTAGTTTCACAGCACATAGCTCACCTTGGCATTAGCATATCCAAGCTTGATTGTAATATTTCTTTCTAGTTCATTTTTGAACCTGACAGTGTGAACTCCAGAAATAGCTTTTACAACTGTGGATTTCCCATGGGCTACATGACCAATTGTACCTATAGACAAAGAACAAAAAATTAATTCATATGCATTCAATTAGAGCAAATATTTTTTTCAAATTGAGTAGAAACCCAAAGCTGTAACTCACTACAATATCAATGCAAAACCAACAGTGGCTTCAACAATTTTTCCTCCTATGCTTTCCTTCCTACTAAAAACTAACACAGGACTTAAGAGATCTTCCCATGTACAGACTATCTTGTTAAAAAAAAAATTGTGTACTAAAAGATATTCATCTTATGTTTTTAACCACAGAAAAGACTGACTTCACTTAAAGTAAGCACTCAATAAAAAGCATATAAACTCTGGTGTATTGAGAAACTTCCCACCATATCCAGAGTGAAGAATATGGGTATGATGAACCCTGACACACCCAAAAGGAATCCCTGAAAACAGGAAAACCGAGGTTTAATTATGGTAATGCTGTCAAGGGTAGCATGTTATTTTACAGCTTTTTAATAGCCTGATAGTAGAGACTTACTTTTAACTAGGCCTTATTGTGCTGTTTGTACAGACTCCTAAATATCCAAAATTTACACTCCATCAACATAATTTCGCTAGAGTTCTAGGTGTCAATTAAGAAAAGTAATATACCCTACTTAACAGTTTATCTATCAAAATAAAACTTTCAAAAATTCTGCCCTTGCAATAACCTTGTATGGCAAATACAGCCGCATTTTCACCTCAACTACATGTGACTACATATTGCCTTATGCTATTAAACTTTTCATATATCTCCACCTTTCCTCTTCACCTAATCTATAAGCTACCTATGGACAACATGTGCTTCCCAAAAAACCTAGCAGGTGCTTTGCTCACAAAGGCTCAACGTCTATTTCTTGAATATCTGCATCCTCATATAATTCAGGTAATCACACAACAGGAGAGATTAAAATTACTTGCTTGAGATCAAAGAAGTCAGGTTTCCAAGTTATTCTTATCTTACCTATATTAATTGTGGCTTGTCTGCTGATAACTTCGTGTGAAAGTGGAGTCAACTTGGTAACATCCTGCAATCAAATATTGTTTTTATTTTAAATCGCTATACATTAAACCACATCTTCGACTTTATATTTGCTACATACAGCTCACCACCATCTGAACAGTTCTCTTCTACTTCTAAAGGGTTTTTCCTGTATACGCAACCTTAGACTCTGATGACTGGGAAACCCTAAGAGTCCTTCATCGTTACACAAGACTACATCTCCAACTCACTATGGGAGATATGGAGGCCCGAGGCCCCCTAACATTGACAGCATTAGTGCTGAGGACAGCGTAGACACTCCCTCGCCAGGCCTGAAGACACGAAAGCCTTAATGACATTTCACACCGTGACTTCCCGCTGCATGCGGCGGCGCGAGCGGGCTCCTAACCCATGCTCGTGACAGCCCGGCAGTGCCTCGTCTCAAAGCCCCCCGGGGAGGCTCGGTCATCCTCTCCGGAGCTCACTCTCCCTCCGTCCACCAGAGCGAAACCTTACCAAGGTGGCGAGATCCTGGCGAGAAAGATGCGGCTGCCCCAGTGTCACTCCAGCCTCACCTCCCGCCATCTCGCCCACAGAGGAAGGAAGTGGCCCGGTCACTGCCTGTTCACACTCAGGTCCCCTCGGGGGCAGGGAAGCGGAGGCGGGAAGGCCGACTAGGGCCTTAGCCCGGGAAAGGATGACTGGTGCAGCAGGGGCCTCACTACTCGGACAGCTCTTCGCTTGGGTTTATTCGATGCTTGCAGGCAGGCTGACTAAAAAACACGAGGCAAACTTTGGGGATCCATTCGTCGCAGACCTATTGGAATACTGGTCAGGCAATGCTGAGGGCAGCCCCAGAAAAGGCCCCTCGCTAGGTGGGTGATGCAACCGCGGAGCGCGCTGACGAGGGAAAGTCATTTCCGCTTCCTTTGGTGATGGCCCAGAGAGTGTCCTGGAACCTGGGGATCTTTCCTAGTGCGAGGACAGATAGTGGGAATGTCCTTTACCGATTGCCATAATTTAATAAGGCGAGATCGGTTCCGGCTCATCTGTGACGGGGCCCTTGACCCCGAGGAGGCTGCGCGCCGAACTAGCAGCACTCACTGCGTGGCGCGTCACCGGGCGGCCGGCGGAGAGGGCGCCCTCCCGCGGAGGTTTGGTGAAGTTCTCAGCAGCCCAGGGATGGCAAGAGCGAAATCAGTAACTTGTTCTAGAAGAGAGGTTTCTAGAGGCAGGAAGGTGGTCCGTGGTGGCGCTAGACTGCATTCACAGTGGATAGACGCGAGGTGTCGCATGAACGCCCAAAGAACTTTTTCTAAAAAGTCAACCCGAGCAAACTCAATGCTTTAATGTAAAGATTACCACTAAATATAAACGTAACTTCCTATTTTAGGTAAACTGTTGTACCTAAAATTTGTGTGATGGAAGACATGTTAATTTTAATCACACGAAACCACGAGTTTTGGTTATCTGTGTTCACTGTGTACTTAAGATTAATTAACATGTTTTCTATCACACAAGTTTTAGGTACAACAGTTTACCTAAAACAGGAAGTTATGTTTCACTAAATGCATTCATCAGTTGAGTGAGAGTAGAAACTGTACAAAATATTGTATTTGGGTGGAGGTGCTAATCCTAAATTTAGGAACTTGTAAATTTGTAAGTTTATGAATTTAGAATTTATCTTTCTAGTTATACCCACCAATTCAGAAAACCCATCGAGATGATAAAAATGTTGAATCACTGTTGTACACCTAAGACTGATACAATGTCGACTCTGCTATTTAAAATGTGGAATTAGCGGTGATGATTGCACAACTTTGTGAATATACTAAAAACCAGTGAACTACAGTTTAAAAGGGTGATCCTTTGTGAATTATATCAATAAAAAATTCATTGATAACAAATGGAACATAACATGCTTCACTGTCAGAAACTTATTGGAAGTAGAAATGTCACAGGTAATGTTATAAATAATAGTAGTTAATAAATACTGGCACCAACGTAAGTATTAATCCTCACAACAATCTGATGAGGTATATACTTATTATTCCCATTTTACAAGTGATGTAAGTCCTAAAAAGATTAAGTAACATGCCCACAATTCCACAGCTAGTAAGCAGCAGAGCTGGAATTCATAGACAATTACAAGCATATTTTTTGAAGAAAATCAGCTTCATTGAGGTAAATTTGCATACCATAAAATTCACCCATTTTTAGTATACAATGCAGTAATTTTTCATAAATTTACAGAGTTGTGCAGTCACCACCACAGTCCAAATTTTGAGTATTTCCATCACCCCAAAGAGATCCCTTGTGTCCATTTGTAGTCAAACCCCATTTCCATCTCTGGTCCCAGGCAACCACTACTGGTCTTACTGTCTCTACAGATTCATCTTTTCTGGACATTTTATATAAATGGAATCATAAAATATGCAGTATTTTACATCTGGCTTCTTTCCCTTAGCATAATGGTTTTGAAGTTCATCCATGTTGTAGCATCTATTAATAGGAGTTCATTCCTTTTTATTGCTGAATGTACTTCCATTGTATGGACATACCACGTTTTGTTGATCCACTCACCAGTTGATGGATATTTGGACTGTTGCCACTTTTTGGCTCTTGTAAATAATGCTGCTGTGAACATTCATGTACAAGTTTTTATGAAAACATGTTTTCAGTACTCTTGGTAAATACCTAGTTGTACAATCGCTGATTCCTATGGTAAATCTACATTCAACATTTTGGGGAACAGCCAGACTTTTCCAAAGTGGCTGCACCATTTTACATTCCCACCAGCAATGTATGAGGGCTCCAGTTTCTCCACAGCTTCACCAATTCTTGATATTGCCTCTTCTTTTTATTATAGACATTCTAGTAGATATGGTTTTAATTTGTATTTCTCTCATGGCTATGATATTGCTCATCTTTTCATGCACTTATTAGCCATTCATCTCTCTTCTTTGGTAAAAGAGCTATTCAAACCCATTTTTAAATAGAGTTGTTTATCTTTTTGTGAGTTGCAAAAGTTCTTTATATATTGTGGATACAAGTCTTGATCAGAAACATGATTTGCAGATGTTTTCTCCCAGTCTGTAGCTTGTCTTTTCATTTTCTTAATGGTGTCTTTGAAAAGCAAGTTTTAAATTTTGATGAAGTCCAGTTTATTTCTTTTTTATGAATCATGCTTTTGAGAATGCTTTGCCCAATCTAGGGTCACAAAGACTTACTCCTATGTTTTCTTCTTAAAGGTTCATCATTTTAGCTCTTATATTGAGGCTTATGATCTATTTTGAGTTAAGTTTTATGTATAGTAAGAGGTAAGGGTTTAACAACATCATGTTGCATGTGGATATCCAATTGTCCCAGCACTATTTGTTTAAAAAAATTCTTTCCCTATTGAATTGCCTTGGCATCTTTGTAGAACATAAATTGACCATAAGAGGCTTTACTGCTAGACTCTCAGTTCTGTTTCATTGATCTGTATGTCTATCTTTATGCCAGTACTGTGCTGTCTTAATTTTTTTAGTTTTATCGTACATTTGGAAATTGAAAAATCTAAGTCCCTTAACTATGTTCTTTTTCAGAACTGTTTTGGATCTTCTAGAGTTTTTGCATTTCCATATATTTTAGGATCAGCTAGTTTATGAATTTCTGCCAAAAAAAACTGGGTTTTTTTTTTTATAAGGATTGTTTTGAATTTGTAGTTCAATTTAGGGACAATCACCATCTTGACAATATTGAGACTTCCAATCCCAGAGGGCCATCCTGCCTCAATTATGCTCTGCAGTCTAACGCCCCTCACCAAACAGTGCTGCTCTTCTCCAAGCCACTGGGCAGAGTGAAGCTCTGCCGTCCTTTCAGCCAGGCCTGTAGCCTGGTGTGCAAGTGTGCTTCCCCTCCTTCCACTTCAGCTACTCTGCCCCAAGCTGAGGCGGCCAGAACTGACTTACCTACAGACCCTCTTTGCCCTGTACCAACAAAGACATTTTGTCCCGAGAGAGCTATGCGATCACTGTTTTTCTAAGGACTTAGTTTTAGAACTAATAAATAACCTCAGAGCCCAGATTCAATCCCATCTCTATCCTTAACCACAGTCCCCAAACCCTAAGGCTGTGCTTCTGGCAACAGTAATTACTGGAGGCTTTTTTTGACTTCTTTCACAGAGTAAACACCATATAGCAGCTCTTCACTGCTCCCACTAACCTCAGCTCTGGCGCTCACACTTAGTATGTGTGTGTGTTTGCATGCACATCTACTGAAATGCAGTGCTTATGAATATGTGGCTTGTATCTTGAGGCAACTAAAGTATAGTGTTGCTTTTCATTGGTTCATAAAGAACATAAAAATTACTAACTTTGAAAGGTATTTGCTCTTTATAACATTTTCATTTACAAGAGGGCATTGTCTGCATAGTGTATCAAAGTAAATAAATATATCCCATTAAAATGGTGATCTTAGTTTCATCTTGTGCTGATAGTGGACGTTTAACAACTTACATTAGTTTTCTAACCGGCTTAACCACACTCCTGGTTTCACTCTTATCTCACTGGCTGTTCCTCTGTAGCCCCGCAGTTCTCTATCTTCTCCCGGATGACTCCCTAACGTTGGCATGCCCAGGACCCAGTCCTTGCCTTACCTACTTACACTCAGCCCCTTGGTAATCTCACAAACACCTCATGAATATGTGGCCTGCATGTTGAGGTTTCTGAAGTATTGTGTTATTTTTTCATTAGTTCATAAGAAGCACCAAAATTATTAACTTAAAACAATGTTTAAACATTTTCATAAGGGCATTGTCTACACTGTATTTTAAGGTAAATATATTCAGTTAAAATGGCAACATTCACTGCCTCTTTTATTGAGGATGGATGTTTAACAGCTTGTAGTGCCTGTCTCTCAAGCTTGTAGCATACCACACTGTTGTCTCCAAGACCAGTTCCCTTTGTTTCCTGGTCAACTCATACCCCTTGGCATGCCCCAGGGCCCAGGCCTTGCATCTTCTCCTTTCTCCCTCACCCTGTGCAAACCTGCTCCTCTTGAAGTCCTCCCAGTCTCAGGAAATGACAATTCCATCCTTCTACTCCCTCAAGCCACAAACCTTGATGACATTGTTGATTGCTTTCTTTCCTTTATCCCTACATCCCGGAAACCCTGTGGGCTCTACCTGCAGAACAGTTGCAGAGCCTGGCCACTTCTCACTGTCTCTACTGTAATCTTCATTCCATTTCATTGTTGGAATGGTCTCCTTACCCATCTCCCATCTTCCACGTTTGTCTGCCTAAATTATTTTTTAACAAACCATTTTGTTATTTACTTTTTTGGTGTGTTTTCTTTCCAGTGTTTTTTTTTCCTTCAGTTTTATTGAGGTGTAATTGAAATTGACATAAAGCACTGTGTAAGTTAGAGGTGTACAGCATAATGACTGGGCATATATATATATAATTAAATGATTACCACAGTAACTTTAATTTACTGTGGTAAACTCTTCATACAGATAGAAGGGGGAAAAAAGAAGAGAAAAAGGAAAAATGTTTTTTTCCTTGTGATGAGAATTTTTAGGATTTACTCTCTTAGCAATTTTCAAATATACCATATAGCAGTGTTAGCTATAGTCATCATGTTGTACATCACATTGCCTAAAT